GGTTTATTATTGTTTTTCTGTGTTAAGCTTACTAAGGAACCTTTATGTAAATGAAACAATCATCCAGCTGTGAATTTTTTTTAGTGTTAAGTCCAATAACTATTATGAGAAGTGTTTGAACAACCTACCAAGCCAAATGAAATTTTTCTGAGTTAAATGTAAGAATAGATTAAAGAAGATTTGTACATGGAATAAAACACCCACGTGTGCAGCCAACTACACTGAAAGTTGCTTGTCTGGTAGGCATAGTGAGACTACTGATTTCTTTGTTGCAATACCTATATGTTTGTTTTTCACTATATTTCACACATACAGTTTTGTTGGAAGATGTACACATTCAAAAAGTTTGTTACAGCCTAACAATTACTAAAACCTACTTAGTATATGAAAACCAATTGTTTACCACATCAGTGTACAACTGAACATCTAAGGATCATAATCTTCTATAGAGGTTACTGAGTTTAGAGCATTTTTCTAACAATGTGTGGATATAAGCAATAATTTTTAGATCAAACACTTCAGTAAGTGAAGATACAACCTTCAGAATGATAATGTAAAAACTATAACACTGCAGATTTCTGAAAGTCTCCCACCCCCAAAAAAGGCTATCCTAGTGATGCTGTAAGTTTGTATAAGTGTAAAAGCTAGAAGTTGTTTAAAAATTTTTTTAAGTTTAGTTCTTCATTAGTTCTAGTGGGTAAAGTCTAAAAGGACTTGATGAGGACTTCCACTAGCAGATAAAAAAAATATATATATATTTTATCCACAAAATAAAACATGAAGTCCAATCTATCATTCAGTTCATCACCTGTCACTGAGTTCTACCAGTTTCAGGGAATACATATAATATAGTTCACCAGTATATGAAGTATAAGCTTGTTTTTCTGAATTGCTCTTGTCCTGGGTTATTGAAGGGTGGAATTCCCCAAAACCAGTATACTTCAGTGGTAAGTCAGATGATAGATGGAGCTTCATATTTATTTTTAGTGTCTTATATAGCTTGCCTGCTGGATAATTTAGAACAGTAAATTAGTTGTATCAATGCTACATATTTTTAAAATCCCATGTAAATATAAGTTCACTGTGTAAGTAAAAGTTAACTGAAAACTCCATACATATAATACTTTATCCAAGTTAATCCTGAGAGGTGATGAAAGCCATTAAACCTTCCATGATAAATTATGTACACAACTTGAAACTTAAAAGTGCAAAATTGCCCTTATTACTACAGCATTATTATTCATAAGAATAAAATAATAATCAGCTGTTTTACTTGTTGTCAATACACAAGTCACTTAAGTACATAAAAGTATCTTAACAGCTTTAAATCACATGCTTGCTGCATCAAGAGAATACCAATTCATACTGCACAATGCATGTTCTCTAGGTTTATTGTAGGAATTGTGTAAATTCATAATTCTGCATTAGTCAGTTTAGTTTTAACACATTCACTATAGTTATAGTATACTAAAGATATCTGTAAAAAAAATATACATTCAAACCAAAACACAGTAAATATATTGCATTTAAAGTTTTATGGAATAACTGATGCATGTACAAAAGTAAATGATATTTTAGTCTGTGGTGAATCTTCTATTAGATGAGAACATTAATGAGACTTAATAAACTACCAAGATTTAACTTGAAATTCTGATAATTCAATATATTGCAGTTCACATCATGTAACTGCTTTAAACTTTATCATGGACATCAACTTGCATAGTTGCATCACTTACTTTGAATACATATTTAAGTTTGTGATTTAATATCCAATTGGAACCTTGCATTGATTCATGCATCTACAGACTAAATGAGTTCCATTGTACATACTGTGTCTTAAAAGTCTCACTGAAAAATAACTAATAAAAGCCAAGTTGTTCTCCTGTTTAAACACATGTCCATAACAAATTTTGTTTGTTTAATAAATAAATGCGTAGGTGGTAGGTTATCTACTAAGAAACATTAGAAGTTCTGAGAAATAATATGTTTATATTCTAACATCTTTTAACTAAACAGACTTAACTGAACTTAAACCATAAAATAACATAGGGCAACATATTTACATATAGTTATCTTGCTAACCTACAATAAGTGTGATAAACCAACATATCATAATTGAAAAGTAGCTAAAGTGCCAATGAAGGTAATTGTACATAAAAAGCTGACTAGGAGTACACAAAATCAACAAATCATGTAATAATTAAAGTACATTGAATTGTCAGTTGGGGTGCCTTTTCTATTTTTGACCATAAACCTAATAATATCTCAAGGTTTGGCCAGACTAAGAAATGTAAATACATATACTAAATTAACCCTGTACATTAATTTTAATTATTAATCAAATATTAGAAGTACTTTGAATATTATAGTGAATAATATTAATTAAATAGTAACATTCAAAATGAAGTATATCATTATATATAAAAAAAAAAAAAAAAAATTCTTTCCTGTAGTCTGTCACTGTTTTCAATCGTCAAGCAGCATTTTTAGTTATGGATGTACATAAGTAAAACAATATTTTGGCATTTGCATTTAGTTTATTCATTTGATGAAGTTTAAAGAAGTGTTATTTAATTCATCAATTAACCTGTGCTCGTCAAGTTGTTGTATTATGTTTTATTCTAATTTATATTATATGATCTTTGCTGTTTTCTTTTCAGGTAAACTTCATACGCAGATATATTTTTTGCATAAGTGTGACAGACTAATAAACATTAAGATCATATACATTAATCATTCCCTTTCTGTCACAGAATAAGCATTCACTCTGTACTGTATATAGGTAAAACATGATGAAAAAGAGTACCATTTACTCAAAAAATTTTCAGCTGAATTAGACTAGTTTTTTTATGTTGAGCACTAACTGATCATATTAGTTCACTGAATGAAGAGAAAATAAAAATGGAAATGTGTTAGCAGGTGAATTTTAAATTGTGAATAATGGAATTTGTATTTGATAATTGACTGTGGATTATCAGTGAAAGCTTTTATATATAGCATTATAGTATTCTTGAAGTCCTTTTATTATCATTATAAGTTTAGGATCTTTTGATTGTTTTATTTGTTATCATTTGATCATTATTTGGTAAAGAAGTGGATTGTTTTGCATTTCATTAAATTTGGGATGTAATTTTGTTGAAGTACTAATCTTTTGATATCAATTGTTTTTGAACTAGTGATTCTCATATAAGTAACTTATTTTGAGACCCTATTTCATTAACCTAGTGATCTAATAATTATTTTCTGGTAAGTATGTGATCTTATTTTCATTCAGTAAGTTGGCTGATTAAAACTATAACTTGGTAAGTTAGTGAGTTAATGAGCTTTTTTGTAATTTAGTGATCTTGGTATTCATTCAGTGTGTCTTTTTAAAACTCATTCTTTTTTAATCAAATCAAAAGATACGTGTAAACCTTGTGTTAGTAAACAGTAAGTTCCTAAATGTAAATAAGTTATCGATGTATGTGTAATGTATTACACTGAGAAAATTGTAAACCCAGTAGTTTAAAGCTTCAGTTTGGTATTAGTACATAATTTTTATTTTACATATGGCCACGTTGATGAAATTTATTATTGAAAAAAAAAAGTCTAATGCTCATAGTGAACTTAGCAGCAGTTATATAGACTTATAAATAATTAATCTCACAGTTGCATTGTATATTAAGAGAGATTAATTAAATATAAGCTGACCACAAAAGATTTTGACACTCATATACTTAACTTCAAAGTATGAAAAAATAAGAGCTAAAAATTACACTTACAATACAACTTGAACAAAATGATGATAATAAAAATAAAATATTTTAAGCCTAAGCCTTCAGGCTTATAACAGTCCTCCTTCAGAAGCATAAATCAAATAAATATATATTTTTGACTTCTGCCTCTGTTATAGGCCTGAGAATTTAGACTTAATAAAGTTTTTATTCTTTATGTACTTAACTGACAAAGTAACTAAGCTAATGAGCATAAGAAGGTTCTGTCCTTACAGTAAACGTAGAAGCTGCATTGGTGCATATTAATCTATTTTTAATTCAACATTAGTAAATAACTTAAATTAATATATTTTGGTGTTGGCTAATTGCCAAATATTTAAACAGTGTGTTTGAAATATAATTAATTTTGATTGAGTTGATGTTCATAAGTCATTGATTTGTGTGTGTGTGTGTGTGTGTGTGGAGCACACTTGGAAAGACTCTCACCTATATAGTTTTGAAATTAAAAATACTAAGTCAAGCAAAAAGTGTGCAAGTTTTAGTTTACAGTAAATAGCAGGCTTAGTATGTGATGTTAGAAGTATTTTCACATTTGGATTTTTTTTTTTGTATGAAAATGTATTATATAAGTCAACTCTTATTTTGTCTTTAGAACTTCACTGTACTTGGTAGAAAATATACACGTGATTGATGGCATAACCCTTACTTAAATTTTAAGCTATTTGTTCAAAACACATGCAATTTGGTAATAAAAGGTGTAATCAGTTCCTTTTTACAATCTTATACTTCCAGTACATAGTGTATAATGGAAGTTTTCCTACGTAACATTATACTGCTTTAATTACTCATAAGTAGTGTACATTCTAGGCTCTCAAAATTGGGCATTTTAGTTTGTGTGTGTTCAGAAATTTTCTTAATAAAATTGAATGTTGTTCAACCCCTTTGAAGTACAAAAAAATATGTTTTACATTATTTAAATCTTTTCATTACATAAGCTTTTACTAGTTTTGCAAGTTTCCTCACAATAAATTTTCCCTGTAGTTTCAGACTTAGTTCTACTGAGTTAAGTTCATAAGTAAAGTACTCAAGTTAATGCAATAACATTGTTCTCTGCATATCTTTTTTATAACTTTACGTTTGTTATACACGACATGACATCATTATCTGGAGTATCATTCAGTGTATAACTGAAATTATGGTTTTAGTTGTGTGCTTACTTAATAATCGAGACAATAATTCTCCTGTAAGTCATTACAAAAGTTAATGGTACCTTGATATCTATTTTAGAAAAGACGAAGAAGGATAGACCGCTCCATGATTGGAAGCCCTACTAATTTCAGGCATACTGCCCATGTAGGTTCTGGTGATGGCAGTGCTCAGGTAAAGTGGTTTTCTGTAAGTATGGTGTCTAGTAGGAGTGATTCAATTCTCTTGGATGAGACAGAAGCTTATAGCTGACATTATCCTATAATCATATCAAGTTTTGGCCTTTTTATACATTTTAATAATGAATGAATGAAAGTCCAGTCTTTACTACAATTCAGTGGTGAAGTATAAAATTGATTAAGAATTAATCCTTAATCCATTGGATTTAGTACTCATAGAACAGAATTTGACCAGTATGAAAGGTACATGTAAATGTCATATTGTAGTGGGATAAGGCAAAGCTTTTGAGAGAAACAAAATAAATTTATCACCTTAATTAGCAAATTGGGTCAAACAGTTGCAGCTGTGGAACCAGTGTTGATCAACATACTGTAAGGCTTCCTGTTAATAAACCTGATGACTTGTAGTCTGATTCTTTGAATAACAACATTATTTCATTTGGGGCAGATTGATTCTTCTCAGTTGAACTTTGTCCAGCTAATTCCCATTTTCACAATATCTGGTTATCCCTTTGTTCCTTTGATATTGTTGGGCTCAAAAATTCATCCTTAGGGTATTGTCTTCTTGATGCATTAACAGCTGTTGACTCCTCACAGTCTTGATTGTAATGATCATGTTTCCCACATTTATAACAGTTCCCTCTTTCTTGTATCCTTTGGGAGGAGTTCATTTTCCATACTTCCTTATGTGTACTTCCTGCCAGTATGTCTTTTTAAGTTACACTTAATGTTTTAGTACTACTAGATTTGATGATGCTGTAACTTCTAGATGGTGTCTTTATTGTTTATTTGTGACTTTAGTGGATTCTAGTTCCATCACCAACTGCAGAATTTCTTTTAAAGATGTACAACTACTTTGCTTCAATTTAATTATTGTATCCTCCTCTGTTATGGCATTATAAATTGATCACGTGCCAACAACTCCATCATTTTACATAGAGCATCTAGTTGAGATGATTAGACAAGCCTCTCCAAATCTATAGCAAGTTCATCTAAAGTTTCTTCTTTCATCCATACCCTATTTCATAACTTTGTTCGAAATAACTCTTTTTAGTATGTCACTCTGAATCTGTTGGATGAGGCAGCTACCAAGGACTTAATTGTTACAGCTCTAAGCTGGAAGATTGCTTAAGGTTTTCTTTCAGAGCTAACTATTACTTGGTTACACCAACAGATGGCATCAATGCATGAATATGTTACACTACTATTAATCAATGATCCAGTGTAAAGGCAGAGCCAATGTTGAGTACTATACCTTTCTCATTGATAAGCTCTCACCTGACATGCATGTAACTAATTCTTCCAATTAGAACTCCTATGTTATGAATTTTTCTCAACAATTGGTCAAGCTAATAATTAAGAATGCACACAAACCAATTATAGTATCCATGTGTCTAGCTGATATTTAGTAATGGATTCAAGTGAATCATAGCATCCTCGGAAACATAAAACCAATAACAGTTAAAATTAATTGCTGCTAATTAACAACACAAATTGCTAATCATCAAATTTATTAGTGATCTTCATAGAATTATTCAATAATATTTAGTTTTCTTGATCTCATAACAATATGATCTGTATTATCTGAAGTATCAATTCTCTGAATTTATACAAGTTTGGGTTGTTTTATAAATTTATCTTTGTTTTTATTGTTTCTTGTGGTAGATATTCCTCACATGCAAATCAAGTATTATGTAGTAAAGCTAAATTTATGGTGTTTGAACTGGATTTTTATTCCAAGTTTCCTTAGCCATGTATACTAAAAATACATGAAGTAAGAATAAACACTCAAATTATTTTCTGATGTTTAGTTCAGTGATAACGTGAAAACCTACACAACTTTACTAGCACAGAGAATGCTTTCCAAACACTTTGTTGGAAATATGATAATCCAATATTTTAAGATGGACCTTTTAATGTACATTACAAAACACTTCAAGTGAA